CCTGTTTCTTTCAGCCTACGACACTCAACTACTGATTATTTAATTTTTTGACAAGGTTACGCGAAGTGGGTCGGAGGTGCAAGGGCACCCTCCATTTTCTCAATCTTTCGACGCTCTCTTAACCTGAAAGAAGATGTATCTAACCGATAAGCAGCAACGCTTGCTACACCGTCACACGAACACACACGCGACACCGTTTTAGATTTATCACACTGTCGAAATCGAACAACTATCGATACGTTCGTCGGAAGCTTCGATCGAGCAGAGTTCTGTTGGGCTACGTTCACATTAGGCTTGCTTGCCTAATTAGAATGGGCCTTTACATTGGCGGGAAGCCACGCCTACTATTGATGCTCCGCCCACCTCTCTCTTTTATTACACTTTTAATTAATTTTGAATTAGTTCATTTATTGATATGGCTTTTGTATGAAATGATTCGATCTGTTTGAAGGTTCTTTGAAAATATTTTGAGAAAGATATATGAAGGAATTTATATAGAATATCAACCTAGGCTCTGCGCATGCGCAGGGTTGAGTGACAGTGGCGCGAATTTTGAATGCTGATGACATTAAAGCTGATCGATTCAGATTTTCTATAGCACATCTTATTTATTATTGTGCATAACATTAAAATTTATAAATTCAGATGTGTTTGAGTATCTAGTCTTACAAATTTAAATAATTACATATGTACAAACATAAAAGTCTAAAAAGTTTGCGTGTTTGAAAGTTTGAAATTCATAAACGTTGAAGTGAAAAAGCTTTCTACGTAAATTTGCATTCTTGAATAAATTTTCGAGAAGTCAAAAGTAGAAATTTAAAATCCGAGGAGCAAAATATTCGACGACTTCCGAAACCAAAAAGCAGAAAGTAAAAACAGCACAGAATGAAGCGCGAGAGAAAAATCTTCCGAACGAACGATCGCATTTCCGCGTCGCATTTGGCATGGCTACGCTTTCCGCTTCGCTTCTTTATTTCGTTTCACGCCTAATCGCTTGCTTTTCTCGCAAACATAGACGCGTAGTACATACGTTAAAAATTGTTCACACTGAACATCGGTATCCTAAATCCTTTTCCGCGTTCTTCTTGGGGTCCCTTCGTATCGAAATTTTCCCAAATACTATTTCAAAAATTAGAAAGAATTGTGAGGTTTGTAAATTGGAAAATTCTCAAAATTGAATACAAATTTCGCATATATCAAAATGCAAGAACTTCAACTTTTATTTATATCAAAATGCAAGAACTTCAACTTTCATTTATATCAAAATCTAAGAACTTCAACTTTCACTTATATCAAAATGCAAGACCTACAACTTTCACTTATACCAAAATCTAAGAACTTCAACTTTCACTTATATCAAAATACAAGAACTACAACTTTCACTTATATCAAAATCTAAGAACTTCAACTTTCGCTTATATTAAAATCCAAGAGCTTCGACTTTCGCTTATATCAAAATCCAAGAACTTCAGTATATAAAATCTCGAAAATTTTCAATGTGTTACTTGACCCCACATGACAAATGCCCCACATCAGAATCCCAGCCAAATTCCGAGCCATTGAGAATCCCCGACCAAAGACAATTTATCCGTACATATTCTGAGGGTGCAACCCCCGAGAAATCACTGGTTTCACAGAATAGCCTCGGAGGTTGGTTGGTTGCTGGCAGTAGATAAGAATACGCGGGTCACATAAAAGCCAGCGTTTCCGTAACGCGAATTCAACCCTCGAAAAGTACACGGATATTACACGTTGAGGGATGAATTTGCTGTATTTACACCGACGTCTTTCCTTCTCTCTCCGCTTCCCACTTTTCCTCGGTAAATTATGCGAGCTCGCGTAGACGATTCAGATGCTTTAATGCTTGCACCGCGACAATAATAATTCTATCGGGGCATAGAAACTCCATGTAATTCGATATTCCTCGCACAATCGAGGAATTCTAGTATTGTTCGGGTCTTTGGGATTTCAATGTGGGGGGATTTACAACTTCGCGAGGTATCTTAATCCTCGTAATACCGAACTGGGATATTTACACTAGGAATACATGCAGTTCAGAATTTATATTAATTCAAGAATTCTTGGTATATAATTGTATAGAGAAGATAATTAGAGGTTTTGCCTGGTGATGGTTTTTATTTTAGTAAAGATTATGAAGTTCCAAAAATGTTCTAAAACTATAACTCTGAGCAATAGGTGATTGGGTTCGCGATTCTGAACAACTTTTCCCTTTGCAGAAATTGGATTCGAAGCTTCGTTTTTGAATTATTAAGCAAAAACACGGGACCAATCAGCGCGCGGGATTACGCATGCGCAGACGCGAGGGCGACTCAGTGGCTGTCGGGAATCTCGCGCGCAGGCGCAATGGCGACTCTGAGTGGCTGGTGTTTTTCATTAATAACTTTAAAACGAAGCTTCAAAAAAAATTGTTGTAAAGAGAAAAGTTGTTTAGAATTACAAACCCTACCACCTACTTGCAATAATTACACTAGTTGTGACACACCCTGTATATTATTATGGTTAGTTTTATGTATTATAGTGATAGGTGTAGAAGTTTCATTTTGGTTAAGATTACGGTTACATGAGGTTGTGTTTAGTTACATTTCACAAATTTATCTGAAAATTGATTTTATAACTTAATAACTTAAAACCTTAAAAAACTTGAAGTTTCAATAAAAGCAAGTGAATTCCCAAAGTCCGGTATTACGAGGTTTAGCAGCCCCCTCGTCCACAAAACCTACGAGCATATAAAAAGCAGAAACAGGAAATAGAAATTGCGAAGGGACTCTGAACGATAGCGTTTTACTGCCGTCGGCCATTTCCCCGGCGGCATAACGATAACGATAACAATAAACCTTAAAAGAAGAGAACAGAAAATCCAGATAAAACCAGGCCTCCACGATCGCGGATTCGCTCCGTGCACACTCGCACACGATTTTTCGTTGCCGAATGACACGCAAAAATCGCACGCGGCTCAGCATGCAACTTCTTCTTCTTTTTTACATATTTATTTTCGAAACGTCGCTTCGCTGGCGCAGAACGAAGCCGAGCTCTCGAGAGTTGCTGTCAGAAGGTAAAAGACAGAGGAGAATTGTTGCTTTCTTTTTTTCCCCTGGCACCGATACGTCATCTTGAGAGCATCGGCAGAGTTGCTCAAATTGATTGATCACTATTGTCTCGCATGCAGAACAGATTCACTCGAATGTTCGATTCCTTTTGTCCTCTTCTGATCTTTCTCTGTCTTTCCTACTCCCTGTTTCTATCTCTCTCTCTCTCTTTCGATCAATTCTTTTCTATCTTCTCTGTGGTTTGCGTTCCTCTTCGAGCATTCTTTTGTCTAGATACTAGCCTAACTCTATGCTACTCTGATTTAACGTCCTGCCATCTCTGTGCAGATCTCAACGTCTATTCTTTTATTCGGGTTTCTGGAACGGCGCTGTTGTTCGCTACAGGATTCGTCTGGTTAAAAATTGATTGCTGATCGATGTAATCACGTTCTCAAATTTTAACTGGAGAATCTGAGGGAGTTTGGGGAAGTGATCGAGATACATGTGCACAAATTGGGAATTTACGAATTTAGGTATCTGGTAATTTGAGGGGTTTGCAGTTTTTCGGGGTGGAATTTAGGGGTTTTGGATTTTGGAAAATTTGAGGGGGGAATTTTGGGAAATTTAGAAATTTTCAAGGGTGGAAATTTGGAGATTTACGGGGGTATAATTTAGAGATTTTCAAGGGTGGAATTTTGGAAACTTTCAAGGTTGGATATTTGGAGATTTTCAAGAGTAGAAATTTGGAAATTTAGAAATTTTCAAGGGTGGTATTTTGGGAATTTTAGAAGATGGAAATATGGGAATTTAGAAATTTTCAAGGGTGGAAATTTAGAAATTTTCAAGGCTGGTAATTTAGAAATTTTCAAGGGTGGTAATTTAGAAATTTTCAAGGGTGGAAAAGTGGAAATTTTCAAGGGTGGAATTTTGGGAATTTTTAAAGGTGGAAATTTGGAAATTTTCAAGGGTGGAATCTTAGAAATTTTCAAGTCGGAAAATCAAAAAATTTTCAAGATTGGAAATTTGGAGGATTCAGAATTTTTCAAAGATTTAAAAAAGTTTATGGAAATGATCGAACACTTTTGACGAGATTGCACGTGTTATCTCGATCGCTACGTGCCTTCTTTCTAAAACTATCAAAGTATATCATCGATATCGAGATCCTAATCGATCCTAAATTCCTCCTAATCACCTTGTGCAATTGTGTGTTCTACTCGTTCTGATCTTTCTGAACCGGTGCTGTCTACGGGGATTTATGCAGAACCAGGTGGTCTCCTGTTGATTTCCCCTTTTATGTACATGTATGTATAATTCCTATGAGCATCCTTTGACCATATAGAGGTTATACTGTGGAGTTCCTTAGGAATAATATAGGGATAAAATTTAACCACTCTGTTTATGATTTTGGGATTTTGAAATTTTGCATTTTCAGATTTGGTAATTTGTCAATTTGGAAATTTAGAAATTTGCAAAGTTGGAAATTTGAGAATAAAGAAGTTTGGAAATTGGGAATTTGAAAATTTAGAAATTTTCAAATTGTCAAGTTCTCTACTCCAAATTTTCCAATATCAGCCCACTCCCAAATTTCCAACTTCACACAGTACTCTCATCAAACGATGCTTCAGAAGATCCCACATGGCACCTAAGTCCAATCCCTCACACATCTCCATTTGTGAACCCACCCTATCCAAATGAACCCTGCAAATCTACCCAGACCTCACTAGAACATCCAAGTACGAGACTCCACAAAGGACACCAAAGGACATCGACTATCGTAAGTGACCCCTGGGCCCGTGGACAGCATCTGCCACCCGAGCTCTAACCAAAGCAGCCTCCTCGTTCTGCCACACTCACTCTTCTCTCTTAGTCAAGAACGAAAAGAAACTCTATCACTAAACGCACTCTCTGTCCCCGTCTCAATGTCGATTTACTGAAACGCTCTGCGTGCTCCAGGTCGGAGCATCATCACGAAGAAGGGCGATGGCTCTCAGGTGAAGGAGTCGACCGACAGCAGCACAACGATCGAGGACGATGACGTTAAAGGTAGGACCACCCATCCTGTCTCTCACTATACTTCTTCTTATAGACTCCCTTTGTTTCTGCGTGTTGTCCTCGCGGTATTTTACGCGTTTGTTCTCGGTATATGACGCGTTTATCCTCGGTACTTGACACGTTTGACCTTGGTGCACTCGAGGATCGTTCGGGAATTGCACCCCCGTTTATGTCAAGTTTTTTCTTATCCACGAATCACCGATCTTTTCGGGCCTGGCGTTGGATTGTATGGGGGGTTTATGGGGTTGTGGTGGATTCGTCGTGTGCGTAACGAGGGGCGGTCGATGGGGACGGTGTTGAATGGGAGGTGTTTGAGAAGTGTTGGTGGATTTGGTCGTTTTGGGGCTAAGTGATATTTCGATGTGTCATATGTGACGCACTCGCAGTTCAAGTGTGACGCACTGAAGGTTTTAACGTGACACACTTGGAGTTCAAATGTGACGCACTTGGAGCTCAAATGTGACGCACTGAAAATTCTAATGTGACGTACTTGGAATTCGAATGTGGCGCACTCGGAATTCATATATGACGCACTGAAAATTCTAACGTGACGCACTGAAAGTTCTAACGTGACGCACTTGAAATTCGAATGTGACGCACTCGGAGTTCCAATGCGGCGCACTCGAAGTTCCAACGTGACGCACTAGAATTTGAAGTGTGACGCACTAGAAGTTCTAATGTGACGCACTCGGTGCTCGAATGTGACGCACTGAAAATTCTAACGTGACGCACTGAAAGTTCTAACGCGACACACTTGAAATTCGAATGTGACGCACTCGAAGTTCCAACGTGACGCACTCGGAATTCAAATGTGACGCACTCGCAGTTCAAGTTTGACGCACTAGAAGCTCCAACGCGACGCACTTGGAATTCGAATGTGACGCACTCGGAGTTCCAATGTGACGCACTCGGAGTTCTAACGTGACGCACTAGAAATTCAAGTGTGACGCACTAGAAGTTCTAACGCGACGCACTTGGAATTCGACTGCGACGCACTCAGAATTCAAATGTGACGCACTGAAAATTCTAATGTGACGCACTCGGATTTCCAATGTGACGCACTCGGTTGTCGAATGTGACGCACTCGGAATTCAAATATGACGCACTTGGAATATGAATGTGACGCATCTTCCTCGAATTTTTGCTGCATTATGAAATTTGAAAATTACTAATTGTGGGGAAGCGAAAATTTGAAAATCGGTAAAATCGAAAATTAATAAATTTGAATATTTGAAAACTTGAGTGATTGAAAATTGAAAAATCCTCAAATTTGAAAGATGAAAAATTGCAAAATTAGAAAACAACAATATTGAAAAGTATAAATGTTGTAAAAAAATTTGGAACTGAGCGAGAAAGTTTGGTACCAAAACGGAGAATGAGGGAATAATAAATCGTTATAGAAAATATCGATTACAGTTGGACACGCCTGTCGATTGTACCGGCGTTACGTGCGCACACGACGAATCGTCGAGCTGGTAGGCTCGTTAATTGTTCGACACCCAAACTGGGACGGTTAATTTTCACAGCGAGATCTACTAATGGATTGAATGTGAATTTACCCGCCACTTGCGCGGCTATAAATTGAATTTCAGTCCCGTTGCCGTCCGGATTCGAAGCGGAATCACCTTCTCCGAACGGAGATGCAACACGATTATTATTACTCGAATTTGAATTTCTATCGTAGCTGAAAGCATCTTACGATTTTTATATCGTAGACTATTTATTAATAACTGTATTTTAAGTAACTTTTCTTTGCTCTGAAGTGCTCTTACCTTCTTATACACTCTTTCGAGAATTTTTGGTTTAATAATCTTTTCCTGGTTATATATTTAATCTTCTACAGTTCCCTGATACATATTTAATGATCTTTTGTGGGATACAGGATATCAGGAGTGAACGAAAAATATTTTCGAAGAGTATTCTCATTTGCAAAATTTATATTTTAGGAGGTTAATGAAATATTGGTGAACAAGCTTTCAGTGCTAATTAATTATAAAAATAATAGTATATATTTATTATTATATATTATATATTTAGAGACAGTAATATGTACATATATGGATATGTATATGGGGAGGTTGATGGCGGCCATTTTGGATGCCTCTATGTTCAAATGTAGTCAATTTAAATTTTCTTATTTTTCATTTATTCAATTACGTGACAGAGTGTACACATTTCATTGGTGCACCCTGTTCCGAATTTAAAAAAATATATTTTTTGACTCTAAAGAAAATGTCAGCTTTTTCTGTCCAGATAAATGAGAATACTCCTCCAACCCTTCGTTGCATTACCACTTCAATTTTACTTCAAAATATTTGATCAAGGGTGATAATTATTAAAGAGTCCAAAACAGTCCTTATTGAAAAATAACATACAAGTGCTTTCTAGGTTAAAAATTTATTAAAAGTAACATTGCAAAATTTTTATAAATATTTCGACAACAGTAAACACTTCAAAATGTTTCAGATATTTCAAACATTTCAAGTGTTATAAAATATTTCAAGCACCTCCGATATTCCAGTTATTGAAGTACAAAATACCTTCATTGTCATGAACTGTAAAAAATAAAATACAGCAAATATTGCAATTAACGTCGCAAAGAATAAAACACACCAAAAACAGTACATAAAAAAATTAACTGTTCCAAAAAAGAATTATTGCAAATTCAAATGAATATTCAATTTCCCTAATTTTCCAATTTCAGCAACATGAAAATACACAGTTCACGTGTTCATTAACTTAACATCAAAATTATCAGTACAATAAATGCAAAGAGCAATTATATTAATTATTTAATAATTTGCTAAAGTATTTGCATATGTAAAATAAATACAAAATAATGCAACGAAGGGTAAAACAGTAGCCCGGACGATCGATAAAGATTGTCCCTTTTTTTGTCCGGTTAACGAACGTTTATGGAGGATGATTGGGGATCCGGTAAACAGTCCGTGGTTTCCTTTATGCGATGTAACGAAATCACGAGCAGAGATTTGCGCGCGCATATCGGCCTATTATTAGAGAGATAATACTCTTGCTCACGTGCAAATCGATCGTTGGACAATAGCTCGAGTAGTTAAGTATCCCCCTCGTTGCTTTACCCCCTTCAACCTATCGCTCTCTCTCCAGCCACGATCCACCTTTATATTTGCGTACATCTGTGTCCCGATTTACGGTACGCGTATGTTGGTAAACCTGTATCGCAGAGGTTCGATCGTGGGTCATTCTCGATGTTCACATTTTTTAGATGTGGAGGTATAGGGGAGTGTGTCGATGTGGGGTGGAATTATGGGGAGACGTATATTTGTGGTAGAGGGAATACTTAACTTTCTGAATGAGGAATTTGGGAATTTGGAACAAATTTTGGAATTTACTTTATATCTAGGAATTTTGAAATACTGTTCCTAAAGCACTTTCTTTATCTTTAAATTTATGAATTCTCAAATTTTTATAATGATGAATTACTAAATTCTAAAGTTCCTACATTGCCAAATTCCTAAATTGCCAAATCCCTAAACCTCTAAATTCCTAAATCCTCAAACTTTTAAACCCCTAAATTCCTAACCCTCCAAACTTCTAAATCTTGAAATTCCTAAACCCTTCAATTTCCAAACCCACAAAATTTCTAAACCCTCAAACTTCTAAACCCCTAAACTCCTAACCCTCCAAATTTCTAAATCTTGAAATTCCTAAACCCTCAAACTTCTAAACCCCTAAATTCCTCACCCTCCAAATTTCTAAATCTTGAAATTCCTAAACCCCCAAATTTCTAAATCCTCAAACTTCTAAACCCCTAAATTCCTAACCCTCCAAATTTCTAAATCTTGAAATTTCTAAACCCCTAAATTCCTAACCCTCCAAATTTCTAAATCTTGAAATTTCTAAACCCCTAAATTCCTAACCCTCCAAATTTCTAAATCTTGAAATTTCTAAACCCCTAAATTCCTAACCCTCCAAATTTCTAAATCTTGAAATTTCTAAACCCCTAAATTCCTAACCCTCCAAATTTCTAAATCTTGAAATTTCTAAACCCCTAAATTCCTAACCCTCCAAATTTCTAAATCTTGAAATTTCTAAACCCCTAAATTCCTAACCCTCCAAATTTCTAAATCTTGAAATTTCTAAACCCCTAAATTCCTAACCCTCCAAATTTCTAAATCTTGAAATTTCTAAACCCCTAAATTCCTAACCCTCCAAATTTCTAAATCTTGAAATTTCTAAACCCCTAAATTCCTAACCCTCCAAATTTCTAAATCTTGAAATTTCTAAACCCCTAAATTCCTAACCCTCCAAATTTCTAAATCTTGAAATTTCTAAACCCCCAAATTCCTAACCCTCCAAATTTCTAAATTTTGAAATTCCTAAACCCCCAAATTTCTAAATCCTCAAACTTCTAAACCCCTAAATTCCTAACCCTCCAAATTTTTAAATCTTGAAATTCCTAAACCCTTCAATTTCCAAACCCTCCAATTTCTCAACCCCCAAATTTCTAAACCCCCAAATTTCTCAAATATCGAAAGTTCAGTATCTCCCATACAGCCAACTAACATTTCATAGACCTATAAAACAAAAATCGAACGAGCCTCTGCAAAAGAACAAATAAAAACATCGTTGTCTTCTTATAGAACGTAGAGCTTTACTCGTCTCGTCACCCATTAAATTCTCCATTGGAACTCTGCCGTAAAAATCTTTCTCCCCATAGATGTCAGACTCTCTACCCCTCAAAATAATTCATTTACTAATCAACTCTGATGATCTATTCTAAATTCTGTCTAGATTATCAAGGAAGCTAGAGTATCTAGATTATCTTTTCATCTGTTCATGTCGAATTATGCAAGAAAACATACTATAATTGTAACACGTATAACCTTCATGCGAGGCTTCATAAATCTTCGACCGCTTCTTTCATTTTGCAATATTAACTGTACATCTATGCGAATGTACATTTGTCCTAGTAGGATCAGAGTTCAATGTTTCACATTTTTGTTCAATGT